CGCGCGCTCTCTCTCTCTGTGTATCTTTATATACATATAGATATATATATATATATGTGTGTGTTTTTTTTTCTCTTTCTCTCACACACTCTTTTTTGTGTATGTATATATATATATATATATATATATATATATAAGATACAAAAATAAAAAAAATCAGTGTCTTCTCTCGCTCTCTCTATCTATATATATATATATATATATATATATATATATATATATATATATATATATATTTAAATAGAGTCAGCTTCTGGACACTGTTAAACTTCATTTCCACTTCTGGTCAACTTAATTTCATTTGTAAATATACATATAGCAACACAAAGGAGTAATTTAGGGCTAGTAATCATGGAATAAAATCACTGTCATAAATATGTCGTAATATTTCCGTAATTATAAAATCGTAAAGGAAAACAGAGCGTACTCGTAATTTTACGAGGGTAAAATTCCAAAATCTGTGATTAGAACAGACAAAGATACGACATTTTCTTTGTCTGTTTGTATATGACTGACACATTTACGATGGGTGTACTTTACAAACACGAAACACAGTTACCAGGTACCACAATTTGTAATTGTAATTTACATCCACAAATGGCAGTTAAATCTGTGCTGTGCCTAAAGGAAGCCCCTATGTTAACAGTGTCCGGAAGCGCCGACGACTTCTCTGGGCTCGGAACCATCTGGGATGGACCATCAGACAATGGACATGTGATGTCAACTTACAATCAAACTGTCAACAAATACTAAGTTTAAATTTGCAAAATTAAAAAAAAAAAGTTGAAGCCTGATTAATTTATTATAATAAAAGCAAGATAAAAACATTTGTTGTCTCGTCTTTTTGTCATTACATTTTTACAGTGTATAAACTGATGAAGCAACGACTTCTGAAATGTTCTTTATTTCAGTCATTATGAAGAAATTGTTAAAGAAGAACAAAGAAACTGATCTCCTTCATATCAAGTTCAACTTTAATAATAAAAAAACACCCTGATCATTTCCATTACATCTGCATACAATATGTGCGCTGTCTCTACTTGCTCCTCATAATGAAACCCAAATTTGCTTTAAGGGATTATTATGGAATTTGAGTAAACTTTCTTGCGTGAGCCTGTAGAACCTGTTTGCGCGCCAACACAGCAAACCGCTGCAAGTTGCGGCAGAGGCGCTTGAGCTCTGAGACACGAGTAGATCACTGCTCTGGAACTGAGAAAAGCTGGATAAGAGCGAGGAGATTCCTGCATAAGCAGGTGAGCTGGATGACGGCCAGATCTCTAGGAAAGGATCATGGAGAAAACAGACACGCCTTTTGTAAAGAGACCAGGAGGAGGAATGAAAGGAGAGAAAGAATGAAGGAAGGAGAAGAAAATGCAGCACAGGTTGACAACTGGCTGTTGTTTAATTAATGCATATGGCTCAGAGAGGAAAGAGGTTTTCATGCAGCAAAACAACAAAAGTGTAATAAACAGTGTTAAATAAGTGTTTATTCTTTTCATTCTAAAAGATGTGTCCTGCTACCTGTATTATTTACCTTTTAATGAGTATTAATTGTCATTTTAAATCTTAATACATCTCCATCATCCTTTAAACTGCTAAATATGACCCAATTGTCATGTTTTATTAAGTTAAAATATAATGATTTAGTATGATCACTTGCTTTTTTATATATTTGACTAAAGTATGCCATATTTACGTATAAATTAAACAACATATGCTACACTAAAACATTAAAGTGTACACTTTATTTGAATGTATTGTGCGTGCTTTCTATGTATATAAAATATCTATTGATTATAAATCACTAATTGACTATTTTACTTTGATGCAAACTGCTACATGGGTTGATGTTGATGGACAAACAGCCAAAACCCGGAGCTCATTTTAGCCGAAGGACAGGTAAACCGCTGGACCACAGACTAGATATGAAACGCTGGTGACTGATGAAGGTTCTGCTCTAAAACCAACACACTCCTCTTTTGTGTTAATGGAAAAAAGAGACTTTCAAACCTGATATGCTTATAAACTGCAGCATGCATAAACCCGCCTGTTTAATTAATGTGTAAATATAAATTAATAATGTGTAAATAGGTTTATAACCAAAAACAGAAACATTAACAAAGATAAAGTCAGAAACTAATAACACCATATTTGCTTAACAACAACCTAGAAACCCCCAGGAACCCTCAGAAAAACACATAATACCCTAGACACCACCAACAACACCTTAACTGCTTAGCAACATCATAAAAACCACACAGAACACCCTGAAAACAGAATAATGTCATAGAAGCTACTAAGAACACCATTATTGCTTAGCAACAACCTAGAAACCACCAAGAACCCTCGGACTAACACATAATACCCTAGAAACCACAATGAACACCTTAACTGCTTAGCAACAACCTAAAAAACACACTTTATATTCAGAAAACCACACAATGCTATAGAAATCACCAACAACACCTTAACTGATTAGCAACATCATAGAAACCACCCAGAACACCCTGAAAACAGAATAATGTCATAGTAACTACCATGAACTTCATAATTGCTTAGCAATAACTTAGAAACCACCAAGACCACCTTAACTGCTTTGCAACATCATAAAAACCACCCAGAACACCCTGAAAACAGAATAATGTAATAGAAGCTACAAAGAACCCCATTATTGCTTAGCAACAGCCTAGATACCAAAAAGAACCATGAGAAAAACAAATAATGCACTAGAAACCACTATCAACACCTTAACTGCTTAGCAACATCCTAGAAGCAACCATGAACACATTTACTTCTTAGCAACAACCTAGAAACCACCATGAACACCTTAATTGGTTAGCAACATCCTAGAAGCAACCATGAACACCTTAACTGCTTAGCAACATCTTAGAAACCACCATGAACACCTTAACTGCTTAGCAACAACCTAGAAACCACCATGAACACCTTAATTGGTTAGCAACATCCTAGAAGCAACCATGAACACCTTAACTGCTTAGCAACATCTTAGAAGCCACCATGAACACCTTAACTGCTTAGCAACATCTTAGAAGCCACCATGAACACCTTAACTGCTTAGCAACATCTTAGAAACCACCATGAACACCTTAACTGCTTAGCAACAACCTAGAAACTACCATGAACACCTTAACTGGTTAGCAACATCCTAGAAACCACCATGAACACCTTAACTGCTTAGCAACAACCTAGAAACCACCATGAACACCTTAACTGCTTAGCAACATCCTAGAAACCACCAGGAACACCTTAACTGTTTTTTATTTTTACTTGACCAAGTATCTGCCAACCACTTTATGTACTAAATTGTTCCAAAAAATTTATTATATTTACTTAATATAAATAAATAAATAATCCTAACATTCACCAGGCAAATACCTTAGCAAAAAGCCCCCAAAAAACCTAGCAGCACCATTTAACACCCAAAAAACACACATGAACCTGAAGTTAGTCTTAGTCAAATGAAGACTCAGAGTTCAACTTCCTAAAATTCCTAAAGTAATTTTAATAATAGGAAGTTAGATAGATATTATCGTTTGTGAAGTTGTGTGTTCTCTTGCAAAAACCAAATGTAAAGAGGACAGCACGCTTTCCTGCAGCTTTGTTTTTAAGTTCCCTGAAAAGACCCGATGAGACACGAGTAATTTAGCTTCCTGAGATTTTGGAACGAGTATCCAGGGTTACCTTTGACCTGCTAATGAACCTCCACTCGTTTCTATGGACACTAAAGGTTAGAAAAGACGAGGAATGCAGAGAAAGTTAGAAAAGGTCAGAGAAAGACAGAACAGGACTCGAACAGGAAGTCTGCTTTGTTTCTGTGCTACTTTTAAAGAGTTGGTTCACCCAAAAATGACAATTTACTCGCTTTGTTTCCCTCAAGTGTATTCAAGTGTATTTATTCTGTTACACGCAAAATAAAATATGTTGAAGAAACCTGAAAACCTGTAACCATTGACTTCCATAGTAGGAAAAACATGTACTACAGAAGTCAATGGTTACAGGTTTCCAGCATTCTTCAAAATATCTTCTTCTGTGTTCAACAAAAAAAGGACAGTCAAACAGATTTGGAACAAGTAAAGAAACTGAATTTTCAGTTTTGGGTGAACTATCCCTTTAAGAGATCAGACTCATTAATAAACAAAAAGTTTATTAGAAGTTTAATATAAGTTTATTAAAGTTACTTAAAACTAACCAGAACAACTTAACACGGTGCAGGGAATTAAATATATGTTCTACTGTACATTCATTCATTCATTTTCCTTTGACTTAGTCCCTTATTCATCAGTGGTCACCACAGCAGAATGAACCATCAACGGCCAATTTAGTTTATTCAATTCCCCTAAAGCGCATGTGTTTGGATTGTGGGGGAAACCGGAGCACCCTGAGGAAACCCACGCCAACACAGGGAGAACATGCAAACTGGAGAACATCAACTGGCCCAGCCGGGACTTAAGCCAGCAACCTTCAAGCTGTGAGGCGACAGTGCTAATCACGGAGCCACCATGCTGCTTACATGTTCCACAGATATTGCTAATTTTACTCTAAAAGTCTGAGGCGCTTCAAGACAAGTTTATGAATGTAATAATCACAGCTCTTGTTCAATGACTCTGTATCTGTAATTATCACTAACTAAACTAAAACGAATTAACACTTCAAACACATGAGAGAGTGCATAAACACACACGCAGTTTACCTGCTGTCACCCTTTCCCAGGTTTCCACTGGCTGGATACAGGATTGTTTGATTTCCTTCCATTTCCACCACACATTTTGTCTTCAGGTCTCGTTCTGTAAAAATATAAACAGCACATTAATAATAATATAATAATAATAATAATCATCATGATCATCATCATCCACGAGTCATTTTAAATGTCTATATCGTGCCACTATCCTTTAAATCTCTAGGTTTACCTACATGATCGCTCACTTTATTTCTTGTTCAAATAAAGCATACTGTTTACTTTTTACATAAATATATATTGCTGATTGATGATCAAACATTGCGTTATTATCTTTTTCACATTAAATATTGTAAATATGCTGTCAAGAAGTTGTTTTTTGTCTGTATTTATGCTTTTAAATTAAATTATGTGACGTTGATCTTTCCTCCAACAATGCTTGATGTTGAATTGATTGAAAAAGTCACTTATTTAAACTCATTTGAAATAATATTTCGTCTGTATAGTGTATAAAACTGGCAATAAATGTTTTCTGCTGTTTCACAAACTTTTATTCTATATAAATGTCTTGTCCAATATATTATTTTCACCTCCTATTTTAACCTCCAGTCACTGTTGAACTGCAGAGTTAAATTTCCAACATCAAAAGTCGACAGAGCAGAGATCAATTTCCCATAATGCAACTCACAACCGTAAATGAATGTAAAACACCTGTGACTCACAAAATAGTAGGGTGTGATAATACACTCAGCTCATGATATCATGTGTATTGTGTAGGGGTGTAACGATATTACAAACCAAGCCGAAATATTGCGATACACCAACCAAGATACGTATCGCAAAACTCCTGTGGCGTACCACGGTATAGAGGTCTGCATTTCCGAATAAAGCGCGGAAGCAGTCGGTAACTGGTTTAATTTTGGACGGGAGCGGGCCGTCTAGCAATATCGGTCCCGACTCCCGAGCGAGCAAGCACGTGTGTGTATGTGTGTGAACGAGACAGCTTCATGCTGCTTAGCTTGTTTGTTTCTGTGTGTTTGTGTGTGCGCGAATGAGAGAGAACTTTATCTGTGTGTGTGTTTATACAGACAGCTTGTTAAAGGCTGTTTGGACTCTGTAAAGCTGGGTGGTTTTCAGTTTTGTTCTCCCCCCCCTGCTCTTTACGGGATCTGGCGCGGTGGGGCGGGTCAAGCAGCGGGTCCCGCGCAGATCTCTACCGCGGTACTCTCACATCTCCTGCTGCCCATTGTTGAGGTTGACGTCACTTGTCTCTATCTAATTGAACCAATTTAAACATCTTTATTTTATCACATTTGATTCAATTGTATTAGTAATGATGAGCTTTTGTTCTAAATATTCTATTCTAAAGTTAGTATTTTCCAAGTGCATGTCATCACAATATGATGTTTACTATACAATATGCATCACAATATTTAGAGTCAGAATTATCAGCCCCCTTTTAAATTTTATTTTGTTTTTTAAATATTTCCCAAATGATGTTTAACAGAGCAAAGAAATTTCCACAGTATGTCTTTTTCTTCTCGAGGAAGTCTTATTTGTTTTATTTCGGCTAGAATGAAAGCAGTTTTTAAAACCATTTTAAGGTCAACATTATTATCCCCTTTAAGCTATATATTTTTTCGATAGTCTACAGAACAAACCATCGTTATACAATAACTTGTCTAATTACCCTAACCTGCCAAGTTAACCTAATTAACCCAGTTAAGCCTTTAATTGTCCCTTTAAGCTGTGTAGAAGTGTCTTGAAAATTATTTAGTCATACATTATTTACTGTCATCATTGCAAAGATAAAATGAATCCGTTATTAGAAATGAGTTATTAAAACTGTTATGTATTTCTGTTAAACAGAAATTGAGAATAAAAATAGACAGGGGGGCTTATAATTCTGACTTCAACTGTATATTAAATTCACAAAATCCAACTTTGTCAACCATGGAAAATGGGATCATGTCTTTTGCCATAAATACTTCTATGCATCTTGTTATTTCTTCAGCTTTTGCACTTAAGTGGGATACTCGATTGCACTTTTGCGCTGTGGTGACGACTTAAATAGCACATCAAATTTGTTGTGTTCGCAGCTTTGTATGGCAGAATTTTTGTACAGAGTTTACACACGGTTTGTGTTTTGTCTGTTTTCTTGTTAACGTCTTCTACAGTGATTGGAAAACCAAAATGTTGCCAGATGTTGGACTTGGCCAGATGGAGAACAAGGTATCCTCTATTTCAGCTGCACTTAAATTGGCCGGTTACTGCTGATAGTTCAAGCAATCTGAATGCATAAGACAGCAGGTGGAATGTACTGTAGCTCAACCAATAAGAGAAAACCGATGTCATATCGCAAGACAAATCATCATAATGTACATTGTGACATCTTTGTATTGCAATAAATTGTACGACTATACATTGTTACATCCCTACAAAATACAGGAACTGTTGATATTTTACAGACTCTTAGCAAATAAATTCTTCTTTATACACAACTGTTTTGTAAATTTGAATTGATAAGGACAAGATTAAATACATATCTCCAAAATTAATGGACACCTAAACATCGTAAGTGCAGTTTTTAATAACATACAAAATGTTTGCACACAGTATAAACATTTGCAAAAAGAGTTGACATTGTTAACGAATTAAATTTCCCCATATGCATATTCATCATGCTAATTCATTGTCTCATTAATTAACAACTGACTCACATAAAATTAATATTTGCCTTCATAAATGAGGATAATAAATGACAATGCTTGCAGACAAAGATCAGAAATAAACACACACACACACACACACAGTCGCATGTCTGCACTTCACACTCACCTCTCCTGTTCATGGGTCGCACCCGGACAGCCACTTTCACATTTGATTCATTCACAGCGCTGTCCTCCATCATGAAGATCCTCAAGCCTTCCTGTTAGTAATTCATACAGTTATTATGAGCCATAACCCCAGCTTTGTGTGTTAACAGCCTATTCATAATAAATGCTTGCACATTTACTCTGTCACAACACTATAATGTACACTCACCGGCCACTTTATTAGGTACACCTGTCCAACTGCAAGTTAATGCAAGTTCCTAATCAGCCAATCACAAGGCAGCAACTCAGCGCATTTAGGCATGTAGACATGATCAGGCCGAGCATCAGAATGGGGAAGAAAGGTGATTTAAGAGATTTTAAACGTGGCATTGTTGTTGGTGCCAGACGTGCTGGTCTGAGTATTTCAGAAACTGCTGATCTACTGGGATTTTCACGCACAACCATCTCTAGGGTTTACAGAGAATGGTCTGAAAAAGAAAAAATATCCAGTGAGTGGCAGTTCTGTGGGCGCAAATGCCTTGTTGATGCCAGAGGACAGAGGAGAATGGCCAGGCTGGCTCCAGCTGTAGAAGGCTACAGTTACTCAAATAGGAACTCGTTACGACCGAGGTCTGCAGAAGAGCATCTCTGAACACACAACACGTCCAGCCTTGAGGCGGATGGGCTACAGCAGCAGAAGACAACACCGGGTGCCACTCCTGTCAGCTAAGAACAGGAAACTGAGGCTACAATTCACACAGGCTCACCAAAACTGGACAATAGAAGATTGGAAAAACGTTGCCTGGTCTGATGAGTCTCCATTTCAACATTCAAATAATCAGGTCAGAATTTGGCGTCAACAACATGAAAGCATGGATCCATCCTGCCTTGTATCAACTGTTCAGGCTGCTGCTGGTGTAATGGTGTGGGGGATATATTCTGGGCACACTTTGGGCTCATTAGCACCTATTGAGCATCGTGTCAACACCACAGCCTACCTGAGTATTGTTGCTGACCATGTCCATCCCTTTATGAGCACAGTGTACTCATCTTCTGATGGCTACTTCCAGCAGGATAACACACAATATCATAAAGCGTGAATCATCTCAAACTGGTTTCTTAAACATGACAATGAGTTCACTGTACTCAAATGGCCTCCACAGTCCACAGATCTCAATCCAATAGAGCACCTTTGGGATGTGGTGGAACCGGAGATTTACATCATGGATGTGCAGCCGACAAATCTGCAGCAACTGTGTGATGTTATCATGTCAATATGGAGCAAAATCTCTGAGGAATATTTGGTGTAATAAAGTGGCCGGTGAGCATAAACTCCATGTTGTCACACAATTTGATTAAGTTAACTTAATCGTTTTAAAACAAGTTATCTCAATAAAACGTAAAAAATGTGTCGTTTCAAGTTCAACTCATTTTAAATTAGCAGTTTGAACAAGCAGCATGTTAAAGTGTGAATATACACTGAAAAAATGATTCCAAGATGATTATTTGGATTTCCTAATTTTGTTTTACATTAAGTGGTTGTAAACAATTTATTTGGGCTCAATTTAAACAAATTAAGTTGAACATTACTGTATTTTTATACAATGAGGATTAGGCATTGTTGTTTATTTACATTTGGTGATTTAAAGAGGTGGTCCGGAGTGTATTTAAGGCAATGAACAATTAATGGCTATTTTCATTTAATAACATTTAGAAAACAAAGGTGAATGAATACTCTACAGCGCAGGAGTGCCCAGACTAAGCATGGGACAATAACCGTTTTCAAGGTATACCGCGGTTCAAAAATGTCAAGGTTTTAAAACAGACAAATTTTTCTGTAATATTTTTCTAAGATCAGTAAAAAAAAGCAAAAAATCTCCAACGATGCTGTTTAAATGGTAAAGAAATCAGTGCTTTTGAAATAAATGAAGGCAGCAGAAGTCAATGATTCATAGGAATTATTTAGCCTGACATGTTTTTCAGAATATGCTAAATGTTTCTCAAAATAAATTATATAATGTGTTCAAAGGGGGCAAAAAGTTTTTGTTTTTTACCCAGACATTTAAAAAGAACATATTTTAGGGCAGTAATCACAATATCATGGTACCGTGAAACCGTGATATTTTATCCAAGGTTATCATACCGTCAGAATCTTATTGTCTAGCCCAAAATTTCTCTTACAAAGTGCCAAAAAACAAACTTGATTGAGGGTGGTGGGTCGAAGCAAAATAAAACAAACCGTATTACATTAAAGTTGCCATGGTACAGTAACTTTCTAATTTAATAATAAATATATTTTTTAATATATATATATGTTTGATACACGTTATATATATATATATATATATATATATATATATATATATATATATATATATATATATATATATATATATATATAAACACACACACATTACATTACACGTACATACAAACACACACACACACACACACACACAACACATACACACACACACACACAAAACACACAACTGCACAATGTATTCACAAACACAAACATACATAAAACACACAGACATACAAATTACACAAACACACATTACGAAAAAC